CCTTCCAGAACGAGTAAAGTGACTCCACAAACAGATGTCTCTCAGATAAGGCTTTAATCTTAGTTCCTCTCTTGGAGGTGGAATCCAGAGGAATAAACCTCCTGAAAGAACAAAAAGCATACATCCTGTACAAGGCTATATACACAATCCACCAACATACGACAATCATCAAACCACAACCACGTCTCTACACCACACATGTGTCCTGAGGCATCTGCCTTATATAGCCAGGGCTCCATGTAGCCTTCTGGCTCTGGCTCTTCCTGCTGACACCTGTTACTCAACCAGAGTGACTCTGCAGTTTTGCCACACTTGTCAGTGCTTTCCAGCACCAAGTAACCATCTGCACAGTGTCACTTCCCATGACACAGCATGACTCAGCATGACTCCATATCAGTCAAATGCTGTGTCATCATGGCTGCTTATGATATCCTGCTATTTCCCACATTGTACATTTTCCCCCTGGGACTCCTTCCTAACATTGATTAGCTCACCCTCCAGATGGAGAAGGTGCTTGGAACACTTTTTCATCTTCCCCTTCAGCTTAGAGAGCAAGAGAGGAAGAGAAGGAATTGCATGTCAGGGTGTAGTGGGCAGGCTGGGGCTTGTGTGTGTGGTGGCAATTTGAGAGGGGGTTGGAGCAAAGGGCTCTGCATCTTCCCTAACTGCTCAACCAACCACTTACCAAAGCTAGCTGCTTTGTGCACAGTCACAGAGCAGGAAGCTTTGATAAGTAATGGACTTCTTCAGTAATCACCAGCCAAACCACTTCTATGGACACACATGAGAAATGGTTGGGGCAACAGTCACTCACCACTCCAACCATTTCCTTGATGCACACACTCCAGGAGAAGAAATGGTCAACTGCCACCTCAACCATTTCTCTGGATACATACACTTCAGGAGAAATGGTTGGAGCAACAGTCACTTACCACCACAACCATTTCTCTGGATGCACATATTTCAGGAGAAATGTTTGGAGAAACAATGACTGGCCACCACAACCATTTCTCTGGATGCACACACTTCAGGAGAAATGGTTGGAGAAATGGTTGCTCTCCACCCCAACCATTTCTCCTTTTACCAGCCTGGCAGATATGCTTGCCGAGCAGTAAAGATAGTTACTATGAAAGTGCTCATACCACTTGCAGCTTTTTGAAATTGAGTTCTCAGCTCTGGCAGCTATGAAGTCTAAACATTGTGGAAGGCTTGACATCACTAAAGCCCTGAGAGTTGCTCTTTCTAATATTATTCCTCATTTCAGTAAACTTTGTGCTCAGAAACAAGCACATGCATCACATCAAGTATAAACATTGTTATGAGTTTTTAAGTATGGCGTATATTATGGCTTCCTTAGGGAACAAGTAATTGACAATGGCAATACATTTCTGGGAGGAATTCAAAAAAGCAGGAACAAGATTTCCTCTTGCTTGAATTCACAGGGAAAATGTGTGAACTGACTCAACCAAAATTTGTGGGGGCGGGGAACAGAGAAGTTCCATGAAGAGTGGGACATTCACGCATTTATATCACCTTTTGGTGCTCTAGCAATCAGATAAGCAACATTTACATGTTCATGAGACTAATCTGATGGATGTTTCTTGTGGAGTAAACCCCACAATAGAGCATATTCTCAAGCAAGCATGCACTAGATTGCTGCTTGTAGTGGTGACATGGAAACCTGCTCCAGTGTGATTTGTACGTGATTCTCCCCAGACCATTTCTTTTGTTTGGTGAAGTTGTGAGAAACTCTCTGTTTTAAAGTAGCCAATAAATCATTTTATAAACTGGAAACTGATGAGTTTTCACAAGGAATTAAGTTAGCCCTAATAATTAAGCAAAGCACAAAAGACACAGTTTTATTCTGGCTTATTCAGACAAAATGATACAGTGTGTGTTTGTTTAAAATAGAATGATATGCTTCTGACCTCTTCCCCATGGACAGGGGAGAGGCAGAAAAGGAAAAGAAATGAAGTACAAATTAACTGAAGGATTATGTATGCAACACATGGGAAATTATCACATTTTTAAATACAGCGACTTACCGCTCCCATTTTGAAGTCTATTCTAGGATGCAGCCAGCTTCTATCATACCCAATTCACTGCCAATGCTGCCTCCCATCTGCATCCCACCTAAAACTCGGCTAAAATCTACCCTCAACTGGTCAATTTTCAAAGCTCCCGACTGCAAATCAGTCAGCTGAGGATGGATTTTAGCCAGGTTTTAAGTAGGATGCAGCCAGGAGGCGGTGGCAAATTGAGTATGATAGAACACGGCTGCATCCCAGAATAGACATCAAAACAGGAGAGGTAAATCACTTTATTTTTAAAATGTGATAATCTCCACAGTCAGCCCTCCATATCCAAGGACTCTGTCCATGGATTGAAAATATTAAATTCCAAACATTAGACCTTGATTTTGTCATTTTATATAAGGGGAACAATTTCTATAACATTGTATTTAATGGGACTTGAGCATCCACTGATTTTGGTATCCATGGGGGTCCTACCCCAATGGATACCAAGTGCCCACTACATTAAGTCATGGTTTAGCCTTAAGTCCACATTTCTTATCTAAGAAATGACCTTTGCGTTATAGAAAATCGTCTCTGAAGCTTGTGCTCCAGTCCAAAGTTCAACTCGTTCTTTGCAACACAAGTCCCAGAACACGGTCAGAATCAGATGATCTTTTTGATTACAAATTTTTGTCCAAAAAACCAAAACAAAAAAACAACCTAATAGGCTCTCTCTCTGTGTGTGGAGTACTTCAAGTAATTTCCTACTTATGATGACCCTAAGGTGAACCCATCATAGGGTTTTCTTGGCAAGTTTCATCAGAAAGATTTTGCCATTGCCATCCTCTGAGGCTAAGAGACTGTGACTTGCCCAAGGTCACGCAGTGAGTTTTCATGGCTGAGCTGGGATTCGAACCCTGGTCTCCCACTGTCTTAGCCCAGCACTAAAACCACTGCACCACACTGGCTCTCTAGCCTATTAGTGTACAGGTTTAAATGGACAACCAGTGCTAGAGCCTAGAAGGGTACTGTGTGCTTGCTCTTCTTCCCTCCCAAATGAGAGAAGCTCTTA